AACATGCCTTGTTGTGGGCTTCCCTGGTGGCTCAGGGGTAAACAATCAGCCTGCAATGCAGGAGTAGCGAGAAATACAGGTTCCATCCCTGGGTCCCGAAAATCCCCTGGAGGAGGGCATTGCAACCACTCCGGTATTCTTGCCTGGAGAATACCATGGACAGGTTGGTGGGCAGCAGTCCATGGTCAAAAAGAGTCAGACATGGCTGAAGAACTTAGCACATGTGCCTTGGTATGGTTTTGCTTTTGTTTATACTGACCTGAGCGTGCTACAGTTTGTTTTGTTGGGATGATGGGGGGCGAGGGGGGTGTTACTGGTTCCATTCACTTTCTACTCTTGCCTCATGACTCTGGTTCTATGTAAATTTGTCTTGTTGAGTTTCTGACATATTTTGTTCTTCTATCGACCGGTTTTTCTTTTTCTACTTCATTTTGTCTCTATGCTTGAGTTTGTGTATTTTTATATTGACCAGTCTTTGAGTTCACCAATACTGTATTTTCCATTTCAATCTGATATTTAATTTATCCCCTGAGTTTTTACTTTCAGATATTATAGCTTTCAAATGTCCATTAGGTTGTTTATGGAGACAAAAAATTTTTCTGGTGATGTTCTTAACACATCTTAATTACATCTATTCTTGTCTATGTTTTTTTCATAATTTTTTAACACATTTATCATAATAAGGGCTTGCCTTGTGGCTCAGCTGGTAAATAATCCACTTGCAATGCGGGGACCTAGGCTTGATCCCTGGATTGGGAAGATCCCCTGGAGAAGGGAATGGCTACCCACTCCAGTATTCTGGCCTAGAGAATTCCATGGACTGTACATGACTGAGTGACTTGGCTACTGGCTACTATCACAGTATAGAATTATTTAAATTTCTAGTCTGGTCACACCACTTATGAACTGTTTGTGTATCTGACGTGTGTGTGTGTGTGTGTAGATTGCTCTTGATTATTGATAATATTTTCCTACCTTTTGGAAGTCTTACGATTTTTTGATTGTATGTCAAATATCATGTATAAAAGAATCACACTGGTCCAGATGAAATTATCTTTCACCATAAAGTGATTCATCTTTTAATTTTCTTTATAGTGGATAGGGTGGGTACATGTCACTTTAATTAGGGAATTAGAGGGATTAAGTTTGAGTAACACTATAGTTGTGGGCTTCCCTGGTGGCTCAGATGGTAAAGAATCTGCCTGTAAAACCTGGTTCAATCCCTGCATTGGGAAGATGCCCTAAAGATGGGAATGGCAACCCACTCCAGTATTCTTTTCTGGAGAATCCCATGAACAGAGGAACCTGGTGAGCTACAGTCCATGGGGTCCCAAAGAGTCAGGCAAGACTAAGTGACTAATGCTTTCATTTTCAGAGTTATTTTATCTCTGTGATCTATGAGAAAGTCAGTTCTCCTCTTGACTTATTTTCATTTTAATTACTTCCCATCTTACTACACACAGCATCAAAATTTGGCAGATATCTTGAGGGTCTTACCTGTCATGTATGTAAGATCCTACTATTCTTAGACTTCCCTGGTGGTGCAGTGGATAGGAATCCACCTGCCAAGGCAGGGGACATGGGTTTGACCCCTGGTCCAGGAAGATTCCACATGCCATGGAGCAGCTGAGCCTGTGCACCACAGCTATTGAGCCCACGCTCTAGAGCCTGCAAGCCACAGCCACTGAAGCTTGTGTGCCTAAAGTCTGCTCCAGCACAAGAGAAGCCACCACACTGAGAAGTCGGCGCACTGCAACTAGAAAACAGCCCCCACTCTCTGCAACTAGAGAAAGCCTGTGTGCATCAATGAAGACTCAGTACAACCAAAAATAAATAGATACATAAAATAAATGTTTAAGAGTCTACTCTTCAACTTTGTCATCCCTTCCCCACTTTTAAACAGTAAAATCTCCACTTCTTTTTTTGTTTTTTTTTTTTGTCCTGAAGCCATGCCTTCCTTCTACCAAAGGACAAACTTGTGCTTTTTAACTTGCTTTTTAGCTATTCCCAGACTCATTGTCACAGGTGTGACCTTGGTGCGGGTCTCCAATCTTGGTTCACTATTTCATCCATGGCTTCTATATACTGCTTTTTGTTTGTTTATAACTCTTTCTTCTGGCTAGTCTTTGCTTCCTCAACAGCAGTAAAACTTTGGGAGGTTTCTCTTTTTTTTCCCCTCAGAATCTTTTGACTTTATTTAAAAGTCTTCTCTCAGTTTTATCTCAGACTTGAACAAACAGCTTGTGGGAAAGGTGACAATTTGAGGACATTCAAATCTCTAATATTGTTATTCTAGTCTATGTAACCACTGAAAGCTTTTCAGTTTCTCTTTCTTCGGTCATAGGCTGTCTGCTTTGGCCAAGATCTGATTCACACACACACACACACACAGTAGCAACAATGGCAGATTGATAACTAATGCTCCCTATTCTGGAACTTAAACTAATTTAATGTGGGAGACCTGGGTTCCATCCCTGGGTTGGGAAGATCCCCTGGAGCAGGGCATAGCAACCCACTCCAATATTCTTGCCTAGAGATTCCCCATGGACAGAAGAACCTGGTGGGCTACAGTCCATGGGGTTGCAAACTGTTGGACACAACTGAGTGACTAAGCACAGTAATCCTTCTGTAGACGTTTAAAGCCCTAAAAATGTATTTAAAAAATTTTTAGAGTCTTTCCTTCCCTGTTTAACTTCTTTTATCTACATTATGTCTGGAAGCAGAAATGTGCCTTTTGAGTCTCTGTTTTATATTACCATATCCTCCTTCATTTCATTTAGGCTTTCCTAGAATAACCATTTTAAAATTATTATTAAATTTGTACTACTATATTTGTTTGAACTGGAAATTTTATTTCGCTATATTTTTTAGAGGAACTCTCCTCCTTAGGTATCTAATAATTTTTGTCTGTGGCCCTACGTCATCTGGCGGTTTTAGCAACCTTGTTTGTGATTGTGTATTGATTTGGATTCTCTGTTCTATCTTTTTTTAAAAATCAATTTTTATTGCAGTATAGTTGCTTTACAATGTTGTGTTGGTTTCCTCTGTACAGAAAAGTGATTCAGCTAAAGTAAAAATATATCCCCTCGTTTTTGGACTTCCTATCTATTTAGGGTACCACAGAGCATGGAATAGAGTTCCTTGTGCTATACAATAGGCTCTCAAATCTTGGTGAGTTTAAAGATTGAAAATACCCTGAAGAAGTCAAGAATTTCTCACAGTTTTCAAAGATTTGTGTTTTCTGGTTTTTTTCCCTCCTCTAGGATTACATCAAACTGTTTTCCCCTTCCATCTCTGGGATTCAGTCACCCTGATCTTCATTCCACCTGCTGTTTGGTTGTTTCTTTTTTGTCTCTGCTGCTGCTGCTGCTGCTAAGTCGCTTCAGTCGTGTCCGACTCTGCGCGACCCCATCTGCTGTGACGGCAGCCCACCAGGCTCCCCCATCCCTGGGATTCTGCAGGCAAGAACACTGGAGTGGGTTGCCATTGCCTTCTCCAATGCATGAGAGCAAAAGTGAAAGTGAAGTCGCTCAGTCTTGTCCAACTCTTTCGACCCCATGGATTGCAGCCTACCAAGCTCCTCCGTCCATGGGATTCTCCAGGCAAGAGCACTGGAGTGGGGTGCCGTTGCCTTCTCCTTTTGTCTCTGAAATACTCTTAACTCCGGGATCCTTTCTCTTCTCTTTTAATATAATTATTAATTTCTCAGCTCTCCATATCAGGAAGTTCTTCACTAAATTCTCAGTCTAGATCAAATTCTTTGTTATAATCTGATAACTACTTTTTCCCTTTTGCACTATCTTTTCCCCCTTTCTAAGAACTTATTTTATTTATATTATGCATCTACCAATGTGATAACTTTACTAATGTCTGTCCTTTCATTTAGTTTGAAAGCTCTATGAAAGTAGACATAGTTCTTTGATTTGTACAAATGTGGATCTCCAGTCTTTAAAACTCAGTGCCTGACCAGTGACAGGAAAAAAAATTCTTATTTATGAATGAAATAAATATTATTTATTCCACTCCAGCTGAGACTATTCATTTTCATTCATTGTATTGATAATTTTTGTGGCTGACAAATTTTAACATCTCCTGGCTCTCTATAACCACATTTAAACCATTATTTTCTAGCTTACCAGAAATGCAATTTTTCTTTGAGATTCATTTTATGAGACAATTTTATCTTCTTCAGTTCAGTGTCCAATTATCTGTGACCCAATGAACCACAGCTTGCCAGGCCTCCCTGTCCATCATCAACTTCCAGAGTTCACCCAAACCCATGTCCATTAAGTTAGTGATGCCATCCAACCATCCCATCCTCTGTCTTCCCCTTCTCCTCCTGCCCTCAATCTTTCCCAGCATCAAGGTCTTCTTACTTAACTTATTTCTCTGATAGATGACCATAATAAGGCAAAGAAAAAGTTGTGATTTATAAAAAATTAAAAGCACAAAAAAAATTAAAAGCATGAGACTAAAGTGATAAAATTTATTTTGAAAGTACTGGAAGACCTGAATAAACCTGAATAAAGCTGGATTTAGTACCTCTGTCCCAGTAGTAAAGGAATTTCCTTCATACTTTTATCTCAATAATGTTCCCTCATATTCTTTATTTTCTCTACACTATCCAATGTTGAGCTTTCCCTGTGGTTCACTGGTAAAAAATCTGCTTGGAATGCAGGAGATGTGAGTCTGATTTGTGGGTCAGGAAGATCCCTGGAGAAGGAAATGTCAGCCCACTCCAGTATTCTTGCCTGGGAATTTCCATGGACAGAGGAGCCTGGCAGGCTACAGTCTACGGAGTCACAAAAGAGTCAAAAACAACAATTAAACAAAAATTATCCAGTGTTCCTAAAATACTGTTTATTGTATTAATCCTGTTACAAATTATGGATTAAAGTTAAAGAATAACATATAGACTTCAATGTTTAATGACATCTATTTTTAGATAAACACATTTTTACATAGTTGAAGTCATCTCACTGGAAAATCTCAGACATTTTATCTAATCTAAATATATTGTCTTTTTACAGATACAATAACCACTACTATGGCAATCTTCAGCAATTATCTGGCCGTATTTTATGTGTGCACATTTATTATTAGCATTCTCATGTCCTGGAAGTTGAAGCCTAGAAAAAAAAATACTTTCCATTAAGTTCTGAAATTATTTTATGTGTCAATTGTACTTTTTAAATTCATAATGTTTTGACATATTTATAAAAAAGCAGAAACATCATTTTCCCAGTTCTCTCATAATAAAATAATGAATATTTTGTCATCTGAAATTTCATATTAAATCTAGAATTGGGATGTTAACAATACCTTCAATTCTGGCTTTTGTTTCTGTGAACTCAGACAATTTCAAAGTATCTTCCATCTTCACAGGGGTCTACTATATTTTCTTTATACATTAGTGTTTTTATAAACATTTTATTTTATATACAGTAAAAAAAAATTGTCATGAATCATTAATGTCAATTCATTCTCTCCTGGGAAAATTTACCCCAAAGTAAAGATCAAAACTTCTTTACTAATAAGCCCAGAAAATAGTTTTAAAAGATTAAATATTTAGATATGTCAATGAGAATCAGAGCAATTTATAAACATTTAAAGAAATATATCATATAATTCCTGAGAGGGGAAATGCATTTACTACAAGTGCAGCAATTAGAAATGAATGTGTAATCACCGGGAATTTTAAGGAAATCCAAAATCTTAATTTAACACAAATTATGTGAGAAAATCATGTCTGTTAAGAGTGGATATACTGGAAGAAATCTTGCATATTTTAGTCATAATATATTATGGTAGAAATCATATTTTAATTTAGACTTTATTTATTTACTTTTAATTATTATTATTTTTTCAGATTTTAAGGCATGCTACATGGCACACAGCTTAGTTCCCCAACAGGGATCAAACCCATATGCCTTGCAGTGGAAACACAGAGTCTTAACCGCTGGACCACCAGGGAAGTCCTGAAATCACATTTTTAAATTAGATTCATCTATTTAAAATTTTATTTGACATTAATTTACTGTTGAGATTTGGGGTAGGAGAGTAAAGAGGAGGGGGAAGAGAGATAACTTTATTCTCTTAAAGTACCATACACTTTTCACATGCTTAAATTTATCAATTACTGTATTTTCAAAACTACTCTATGAAGTGGGTTTTATTATTCATCACATCTTATAGAAAATGGAATAGAAACCAAAAAAGAATGTTTGGATAAAAGACTATGATCCTAGTGGCAGAGCCAATACATAAATCCAAGACACTTAAGAGCGTGTGCTATCAATTACTTACTATATTTTAAACCACAGAGCTTAACACTGGGGAACAAGAGTATTGGCAGTACAGTATTTTCCATGGCCTTGCTAAACTGGTTTTTACACACATTGTGTATGTGCAATAGTATACGTTTTATACCTCCACTTCCAGATACCCTAATAAAATCATGGGAATTGAGGCCTATAAATCCTTTTTTGAGTGTAGGTAGTAGGTTGAATTAGCAGTAGCAGCAGTAGGTTGAATAAGTATTAGTCACTCAGTCATGTCTGACTCTTTGTGACCCCATGGACTGTAGCCTTTCAGGCTACTCTGTCCACGGGATTCTCCAGGCAAGAATACTGGAGTGATTTGCCATTTCCTTCTCCAGGGGATCTTCCAGACCCAGGAATTGAATCCAGGTCTACTGCATTGCAGGAAGATTCTTTACCATCTGAACCACCAGCCTAGTCAAAAGTTGAATAGAATTCATGAATGAAATTCAAGCCCACTCAGAATTTCAAAATGTGTCCTTAATTGGAAATGTCTTTGTAGATGCAATTAAGATTAGTGACATGAGGTCACAGACATAGACAACAGACTTAAGGACATGGGGAGGCAGGGAGAAAGGAGAGAGTAGGATGTATGGAGAGAGCACCATGGAAACTTACACTACCATATGTAAAATAGATAGCCAATGGGAATCACCTGTATGACCCAGGGAATTCAAACTGGGGTTCTTTAAATACATAGAGGTGTGGGATCGGGAGGGAGATGGGAGGGAGGCTCAAGAGGGAGGGCACATTTGTATACCTATGATTGATTCATGTTGATATTTGGCAGAAACCAACACAATTCTGTAAGGCAAATTCCCTTCAATTAAAAAATAAATATACTTAACACTTAGGTTTTTAATCCATTTTGAATTTATCTTTGTGTATGGTGTTAAAAAGTGTTTTAATTTCAATCTTTTGCACATAGCTATCCAGTTTTCCCAGCATTACTTATTGAAAAGGATATCTTTGCCCCATTGTATATTCTTGCCTCCTTTGTCAAAAAATAAGGTACCCATAGGTGCATGAATTTATTTCTGGGCTTTCTATCTTGTTCCATTGGTCTATATTTCTGTTTTTGTGCCAGTATTATACTGTCTTGATGACTGTAGCTTTGTAGTATAATCTGAAGTCAGGAAGGTTGATTCCTCCAGCTTCGTTCTTTCTCAAGACTATTTTGGTTATTTGGGGTCTTTCATGTTTCTGTATGAATTGAGAAATTTTTTGTTCTAGTTCTGTGAAAGATACCATTGGTAATTTGACAGGGATCACACTGAATCTGTATATTGCATTTGTCAGTGTAGTCATTTTCACAATATTTATTCTTCCTACCCAGGAACATGGAATATCTCTCCATCTATTTATGCCATCTTTATTTCATCAGTGTCTTACAATTTTCTGTATACAGTTCTTTTGTCTCCTTCAGTTCAGTTCAGTTCAGTCACTCAATCATGTCCAACTCTTTGAGACCCCATGAATTGGAGCACACCAGGCCTCCCTGTTTATCCTTAGGTAGGTTTATTCCTAGATATTTAATTCTTTTTGCTGCAATGATGAATGGGGTTGATTCCTTAATTTCTTTTTCTGACTTTCATTGTTAGTATATAGTATTACAAGTGATTTCTGTGTATTGAGTTTGTATCCTGCAACTTTTGTAAATTCACTGATTAGCTCTAATAATTTTCTGATAGTATCTTTAGGGCTTTCTATGTATGGTATCATGTCACTTGCAAACAGTGAAAGCTTTGCTTCTTCTTTTCTGATGTGGATTCCTTTTATTTCTTTTTCTTCTCTGATTGCTATAGCTAGGACTTTCAAAACTAAGTTGAATATAGTGGTGAGAGTGGACACCCTTGTCTTATTCCTGATCTTAGGGGGATTGCTTACAGTTTTTCACCATTGAGTGTAATGTTTTCTGTGAGCTTATCATATATGGTCTTTACTATGTTGAGGTAGGTTCCTTCTATGCCCATTTTTTGAAGAGTTTTAATCATAAATGGGTGTTGAATTTTGTCAAAGACTTTTTCTGCATCTATTGAGATTATCATTTGGTTTTTATCTTTCAATTTGTTAATATGGTGTATCACATTGACTCATTTATGTATATTGAAGAGTCCTTGCATCCCTGGGATAAACCCAACTTGCTTATGGTGTATGATGTTTTTAATGTGTTGTTGGACTCTGTGTAGTAGAATTTGTTGGGGATTTTTGCATCTTCAAAATGGATTAAAGGCCTAAATGTAAGACCAGAAACTATAAAACTGTTAGAGGAAAACATAGACAGAACACTCGATGACATAAATCAAAACAAAATCCTCTATGACCCACCTTCTAGAATAATGGAAACAAAAACAAAAGTAAACAAGTGGAACCTGATTAAACTTAAAATCTTTGGCACAGCAAAAAGAAATTATAAACAAGGTGAAAAGACAACCCTCAAAATGGGAGAAAATAATAGCCAATGGAACAACTGACAAATGATTAATTTCCAAAGTACACAAGCAACTCATACAACTCAATACCAGGTAAAAAACAACCCAATCAAAAGTGGGAAAAAGACCTAAACAGACATTTCTCCAAAGAAAACATACAGATGGGTAACAAACATGTGAAAAGGTGCTAAACATCTCTTATGCTTAGAGAAATGCAGATCAAAACCACAATGAGATATCACCTTACACTGTTCAGAATGGCCATCATCAAAAAGTCTACAAACAATAAATGCTGGAGAGGGTGTGAAGAAAAGGAACTGCTCTTGCCCTGTTGCTGGGAATGTAAATTGATACAGCCACTATGAAAGGCAGTATGGAGATTCCTTAAAAAACTAGATATAAAACCATCGTATGACCCTGCCTTCCCACTCCTAGGCATATACCCTGAGGAAACCAAAATTGAGAAAAACACATGTACCCCAATGTCCACCCCAGGACTATTTACAAATAGCTAGAACATGGAAGTAACCTAGATATCCATCAACAGATGAATGGATAAAGAAGTTGTGGTATGTATACACAATGGAATATTACTCCGCCATAAAAAGAAATGCATTTGAGTCCATTCTAATGAGGTGGATGAACCTAGAGCCTTTTATACAGAGTGTAGTAAGTCAGGAAGAGAAAGATAAATATTGTATAGTAACACAATTATACAGAATCTAGAAAGATGGTACTGAAGAATTTCTTTGCAGGTCAGACATAAAGAACAGACATATGGACATGCGGAGAGGGGAGGAGAAGGTGAGATGTATGGAAAGAGTAACATGGAAACTTACATTACCATATGAAAAATAGATAACCAAAGGGAATTTCCTGTAGGTCTCAGAGAACTCAATCAGAGTCTCTGTATCAACCTAGACAGGTGGGGAGGGGAGGAAGATGGGAAGGAAGTTTAAGAGGGAGGGGACATATGTACCTATGGCTGATTCATGCTGATGTTTGACAGAAAACAACAAAATTCTGTAAAGCAGTTATCCTTCAATTAAAAATAAATAAATTTTAAAAAATTTTTAATAAAAAAGTTGAAAATTGAAAACAAACAAGACTAGTGTCATGATGAAACCATATTGGATTGTACCCTAAATCCAATAAGAATATCCTTACTGGAGAGCAACATACACAGAGAGATGCAGAGAAGGAGCAAAAGAAGTTGGGGATATGGACAGTTGTCTCTTTGTATCCAGGATGTGGGGGTGGGGAGATTCTACTAGGAGCCCCAAGATATCATAGTCTACAGATACTCAAATCCCAGTCAGTCCTCTGTGTCTACATGATTCCTTAAACTTGAGAATTCAGAACCCGCAGATACAGAGGGCTGGCTTGTCTTTAAATGATGCCAAGGATTGGCAGAATATCTTATATTTTCATGGAAGTTTACAGTATTTCCTTTATTAAGACTTTTATAAACAAGTTCCACAGTGTAAACAGAACAAAAAATTGTTTTAATCAACAACAGTTAGCTTTCTCTCTGGAAAAGTTTAGCAAGCTCCTTCAGACAAAGGATCTTTCCAGAAAGGAATCAACTCTACCAAGATCTTGATTTCAAACCTCTGTTCCCTCTGCTTGAGAGAATAAATTTCTGTGCATTAAGCCACCCAGTTTGTAGTGATTTTTTTATGACAGCAAACTAGACAAAGTATGCTAGGTGAGTCCTAGAGAATTGGAGAGCATATTTTAAGAAAATTTCATTACATGCACATGTATTGCAGTCAGACAAGCTACATTGATATTAAAATGACAAATCTGAAATATACTTACTTTGTAATTTTATACAAGTTTATTCAATCACCTTTTATTAAAATGCAAAATAGTTATACTTCAATAAGCAATTTCAATGAGCTTTGAAAGGAACATATTTAACTTAGTATAGTATTTAGTATTTTACTAAGTATTTTACTCCTTGCTTTCCATCTTTTCTGTCTTATTGATTTCTTACAGGTGCATCTGTTATAAATGTTACCCACATCCACATTAAATATTCCTATTTGGAAGAAAGTAATATTGTTCTGTAATGAAATTTTAAAACAGCAAGAGACTTACTTGTCCAGGGTAAGTTTTGTATCATCTAGCCAAACCCAGTTCAGTTGTTTATTGCTGTAGTATAAGCTAATTGGAAACTTTTCTTTTTGCAAACCGCATTGCATTTTTGACAATTTTGTTATAAAATTCTGCAGAGAGGAAAAGGAAAGTGAATCAAAAAGTGGAACTTTTCTTGCAAAAGAGGAATATAATAGTTTAAATATGTATATTTTACTTCTCTTTGGATTCTCTGTTCTTTATATTGAAAGAATCTGGAGAGATTAACCCTAAATTCTTCAGCCATAGGCTGGATGCTCAGAGCTAATAACTCATTTATTCACTGAGTAATTTTTTCGGGACATATTTTATTCTAGTCATTTTCTTAAGTTATGGGTTGTAAAAGCATAAAATCTTAAAACTGTAGTTGCTCAAATTAGGCACTGAAAAAATGAATATTGTTCACTGATTTATGTAATAAATAGTAGTGACACATGGTACAAGATCAGAAATACAGGATTGAAGGAGAGAAATTAACAGGGAATTTTAACAGATTTTAGTGAACTAAGGATGTTTTCCAAGTGGATCATCTAGTAAGCTAAAAATCTTCAAACAAGATGTATTAACTGAGAGATGATAGTTTGGGATAGGAGGTAGAAGAAATAAAACTTGTCACAGGTAAACAGAACAAGGACATAAAAGAGCATAAGGGGACCATGATCTATTTAAATAACATCAATACAGTTGGAGACCATGGCACACTTTCCTTAGAACAGTGTGATAGAGAGTCCCTAACAACAGGAGAAGATAGAGAAATCAGCAGAAATCAGACTACAAGTCATCTTATCTACATTTTACTTGGACTTTACTCCAAGTGCTAGAGGAAAACCCCTCAGGTTTTATTGAAGTACACATTCAAAATTACAAATTGCGGAGATTTTGGTGACTACACTCTGGAAAGTAATTCAGAAGAATATAAAACTTGAGCAATTGCTGTCATCCTAAATTTTTCTGATACCAAAATTTATAAAACAAAATCTTGTCCTTACCATCTCTTCTTCAGTATTCAACTTAAGAAATCCAGAATGTAAATCAGTGCAAAAATGGTGACATTCCTTCCAAGGAATAATGTTTCTTGAAAAATAGTAGCAGTTTTCTCCATACTGATGCCAGTTGTTTGAACAAGTAGGGTATTTCCAAACTACTAAAAATTTAAAATATAACTGAATGATTTCCATCAGTGCAAATCACATCTGTAAGTTGACATAGCAAATCTACCATCTACAAACAAAAACACTTTTTGATTTTTACATTATAGGCGGGGCACACTTAAATTTAGTGTTAAATTTATCTTAATAACTCACTTCATTGAAAATATTTTGGTCTTTAAGATTCATAAGCTGTGTATTAGGAAATAATTTTTAATGACAAAATTAGAAATGTGTCAGGAAACCATCCAGTGTATATGACTTAAAAATTATCAACATAATATTCTTACTTTGTTTTCACATGAGAATAAAATATGCATATAATTATCTTTAAAAAACTGTAAGTTTCAAAAATAAGACAATAAGAAATACATATATGAAATCATATAGATACGCCCCAAAATGATGATGCCTTGTGGAAATATTTTATTTAACTTCAGGTTGTAATTTAATAGTGCCATCATCATATGAGTCTTAATAAGTTTGACATATATATATTTACACGTATCCAGTTCCATGCATTAAACAAAATAGTTAATTGTCTCTTATCTCCTGCAAATAAAATTATGACTCAGGGACTCATCCAAAAGTACCTGTTTTATTTGCTTCCTTGTTGGAGGAACTATTTCCTGGACATCCTTCTGGTTGAAATGGCTTCTTATTCACTGAAGAGAACTCAGAAAGGTCAGTTTTAAACCAAAAAAGAAAAATTTGACACATATCTATAGGTAAAACATTGTGCTGAATTCAGAGCTACAAAAATGATGAATGAAGCATCATCTACTTCAAAGAACCTAAATGTAATAAAGTCATAATCATAAAATTCAAGTTATAGTTCATATGCAGCAAGTTCACACAGCCATAAATCAAAGAAGCAAGAAATATTGTTCTGATAACAGTGTTAGAAAGCTTTTTCAGAGAGAAAAAAATTTTAAAGGTATTTCTGGTAAAGGAAACGTGAGAACAAATGGCAGTATGTAATGTTCTTGGTATGCTTAAAAATGGACAACATTTTTATATGTGTCTAAGAAATTAACTTCAGTTCTGTGCAGAGAATATTTACTTTGTTAAGAAAAAGAACTGGTCAAAATAATGTATTATCTTCAACATATTTCACTATATGAATAATGGAAAAGTAAACTTCTATTTCATATTTTGACTTACACTCAGTGACCAAGTATCCAACAGACAGAAGAAGCCCCAGGCAAATGATGCACAGAAACGCAGCCACATATTTCCATGAAGAAAGTGGAGTAGGGTGATCTATAAAGACAGAGATGAATGCATCTTGTAACATCAACTCTAAATGTTTATTCAGAGTTCTGCTTCTGTTTTAGGTGCAGTAAACTCTACAGCAAGGTAGCTCACATCCTAAAAATAGAGAAAAGGAAGGTAATCTACAAAATCATATCTCATATTGAGGGAATGAAGCAGCTGAATTGATAAAGTGATCAGGTGGTCTGAATTCTAAAGAGATAAAGCCCCGACTCTATGCAAAGACAGCACGCAAACTCTACTTCACCTTTGGCAAAGCATAGGAGGAAAAGTGCCAGCCATATGAGAGTGAAGTGTTTCAAAAATCTTCAAGGCTAAAAGCAGACTTCAAGGCAGAGGAATCAGAGATTGACTGCCCATATCTGTTGTATCATATAAAAAGCAAAGGTGTTCCAGAAAAACATCTACTGCTTCACTGACTACACTGAAGCCTTTAACTGTATGAATCACAACAAACTGTAGAAAATTCTTAAAGAGATAGGAAGAGCAGATCACCTTACCAACCGCCTGAGAAACCTGTAAAGCTATGACAAACCTAGACAGTGTATTAAAAAGCAGAGGCATTACTTTGCCGACAAAGGTCCATCTAGTCAAAGCTATGGTTTTTCCAGTAGTCATGTGTGGATATGAGAGTTGGACCACAAAGAGGGCTGAAGGACAAAGGATTGATGCTTTCAAATTGTGATCCCAGAGAAGACTTTTGAGTGTCCCTTGAACAGCAAGGCGATCAAACCAATCAATTCTAAAGGAAATCAACACTGAATATTCTTTGGAAGGACTGATGATGAAGCTGAAGTTTCAATACTTTGGCCACCTGATGCAAAAAAGCAGACACATTGGAAAAGACCCTGATGCTGAGAAAGGCTAGAGGCAGGATTAGAAGTGTACAATAGAGGATGAGATGGTTGGATGGCATCAGCAACTCAATACACATGAGTTTGAGCACGCTCCAGAAGGTAGTGAAGGACAGGGAAACCTCGCGAGCTGCAGCCCATGGGGTCTCAAAGAATCAGACACAACTTAGCGACTAAAAATCAACAACAAGCCCACCCTGTACCCTGCATTGACAGTAGGCAAAAGCCGTCTGCTTCTAGAGAAGAGACAGAAAACCAGCTTCTTCCCAATATCCTGAAGTTGTACAAAGCAGAGGACCTTAGCTGGGGCGGAGAGAAGAAACTTCCTCACACACAAAATCCACCAGTTTAGGATACATGCCACAGAGGAAGGGACAGAAAATCCACGTGTTGTCATCAGAAGAAGGAAAGGTTTTGGTCTTTTCAGCTAAAAACAGATTTCCATCAATTACGCACTCTAATCTCTAGAACATTTAACCATCATGTCTCTGTTTATATTTTTATATTGGGTATAAGCATGAAACTTACCTTGTAGAGTTTTTGGTAATTGATTTTCACCTGTGAAAGAACTTTATAGACAGTGAAAAACTAAGCTTTGTTTGGTAAAAATAAACTTAAAAGACAGGATAATGACTCTAAGTCATTCTGTTTGATTCATGGTAAAATATCAACTGTGGTGAAGCATGTCATTTTATATGTATTTATGCACATATATACAATTAATAATATCATTAATGAAGTTTTCCCAAACCAGTAGATTTTCCCATACAAATCTACTGCTAACTGCATTGGTAAGAAGTGCAGACACTGGTAAGATGAATTGTTCATCAGAATTTCAAAAAGAAAACAATTTCTGAATCTATAACAAGCAGAGTATATTAGGTATTAAGGAGTCTTTAAAAATTTGTTAACAATATATTAAGCAAAATTTAAAAATACTTTTTCATTAACCTTATGGTGAATCTGTATACCATAAATCATATTGTAATAATTAACAATCTAAAAAATTGGAAAGTAATCAATTGAGGTCCTCATTAAAATAATACACCTTAGCCAAAGTATTGAATATCCACTTGATGTAAGACAAGATAGAACTAGCACACTGATACACAGTTCACTTCTAATCATTCCACATACTGATTTAAAACATATGAGGACTGCAAATAAGCAACAGGAAAAAATACAAATGAAAGCAAATTTTAAATGATAGGAAGATATATCATTGAATTCCATATAATCATATGCACCAGTAAAGTAATAACACTGGCATTTGTGTATCAAGAAGCATGGCACTTGAAAAAGTACACTTTGAACACACTATGCCAGCAAATACACAACCAGGAAAACAAGAAAAATAGTCCCTAAGTCACAGCAACTGTGTCAGAATAATGAAATTATCTCTATATTTTCTCACTTCTCTGTTTTCCAAATATCCTACCATATAGTGTTGATATCTTAAATGATAGAAAATGATAAACAACATATCTCGATCCCCAAACATTTCACTCATTCTAAAAATGCTGATATAATGTTTACAACATAGCTAAAGTGATGACTCTCATGGAGAAAAAGATAATCTTCCCTCAAAAGCAATTATTTTCCTTGTTTAGTAAGAGAAAAAAATTTTTAGATCATGTGTATGTGCATATGAGCCTGATAATGAATGATTCTGTATATTTTTTAAATAGAAAACATGAAAGACCTTTTCTCTTGGTAGTTTCAAGTCTTTGGCTTCTCTGTGGCTGAGATGATGGTTGAAATGGCCAATTGGAGTAAGTTACAACTTCTTCACTCATTACTGAAAGGCAGAGATACAAGAAAATGAAAAAAATACATTTTAAATTCATGTAAATTCTGAAATCCATAAGTAAAATTGGTATTGAATGAAATGGTATTGGAAATGAACTTGAATAATTAGTGATGAATTAGAATACAATTACAAATATGAAAATATTTTAAGAATGAAGAAATACTAATTTTTAAATGTTACTTAATGAGTTGGTAGGACTTCTCAAGTGGCTCAGTGGTAAAGAATCCACCTGCCAATGCAGGAGATGCAGGAGAAGCAGGTCCAATCCCTGGGTCAGGAAGAGCCTTTGGAGGACGAAATGGCAACCCATTACAGTATTCTTGCTGGGAAATCCCTTGGACAGAGGATCCTGGGGGGCTGTAGTTCATAGGGTCACAAAGAGTCAGACACAGCTGAGCGACTGAGCACACATACAAAGTAGCTGCTATGGTACATTACTTTTGGCCTTTTAAATATTGTCTATTCACAATTGCAAATCTGTTAATATCATTTATTTATAAGTGAAAATGCAAAAGATGATCTGATGGATTTACTGAATTCTTTCGACTGAAATTTATCCTTATAGCTTGGCACTTCCATTCTTTCACAATTTCACCTGTTCCTGCTTAATTTCTAGTATTATCTCTCAACTCAATCTATTTTCATTTTCCCCATAATTCTACCGACACATTTGTTCTTTCTCAATATACCATAAGCACTTCTCCAGTTTCAATGTTTGGCTCAAATTCTTCCTTCTCAAGTACATTTTCCTCCTCTATTTGCTCATAATAAATCTGTAAATCAAGTTCTACCACCTTTAATAAAATTTCCAGATCTTTCAATAATGATTCATCTCTTTTTCCAATTTTTCTCATTATTTTTCGTTTGTCACCATCCAATTAGTTATCTCCTTTTACCTTATCTTTCATTAATGTCTCCCCAATGTATTGTGAATTTCTTGAAATATCTTATTAACTTTGTTAATAAAATGTAATTGTTTATTAGTTTTCTATATGAAGTATAAAAAGTAACATTTTGTGTTACTTTAACTTTAACTTTAATTGAGAAACTTTGAAAAATATTTTTCCTGATTAAACATTTTATAAAATTTGATAGGAATCTGTGTGAAAATTTTTTATGCCCTTACTAAAGGATAATATATCCAAGTTATACATGGTTTAATTATATCTAATTATGCTTCACCCTGGTGAAATCTTATGTTTCCTTGTTTATTTTCTTTAAACCTCCAATTTATACCAGTTAATAATATCAAGGTATCATAAAATATCATATCAAATAGTATCAGTGATAATAATGTCATATCAAATAGTATCAGTGAAATTACTAAAAATAAATAATAATTAGAATCACTTCTTTATAAAACTTCATCTGATTTCTCTTCTAGCATCACTCTTTTCTTCAATTCTTTCTCTCTTCCTTTCTTCTCTGTTCTCATTCCCCACTCTGTCACTCATACTTTTATTTCCTTTCCTCCCAAATGATATTTATAGAGATATATAAATGTATAGATATATGTGATTGAAAATTACATATAATCATATAAAATTATATTATTATTTTTAAAACACATCTGCATATTGATATACAAATTTGCCTTTGCATCTATAACTTCAGTTTCTTTGATCCAAATTCCCTCAAAATTCCAAAAATACATGTTGAGAAACAATAGAAATCTGCGAAATTAGCAAATACCTGATTTTTAGAAGACAGCGTCTGAACTTTTGCAGAGTGTGTGTATATATCCTCAGAAGAAGCAATCTTATCTTTTATCACAGCAGTTTGAATTTAAGAATTTTGATCATCAAGAGCCCAGAAAATAAGCCAAGAAAAGAAATACACAGGCTAATAATGCCTTTGCCTGTTGTATGAGAGACTCTGTCAGGTGAGAGCAGAATTCAAGAGTAAGAGTGCTCTGGATGTAGCCACACAGGAAACTGTTTTACTGCTGCTCACTTTAGCTCTGCATCATCTCTAGATTGGGCATGTCATCAATCTTACCTTGAANTTGTATGAGAGACTCTGTCAGGTGAGAGCAGAATTCAAGAGTAAGAGTGCTCTGGATGTAGCCACACAGGAAACTGTTTTACTGCTGCTCACTTTAGCTCTGCATCATCTCTAGATTGGGCATGTCATCAATCTTACCTTGAATTACACAAAATACCTAATATATTTTCACTAAAGACCAGTTTTACTCAACACTTGCTTTGTCACAGACATACTTGAATACATCATTTATTGTTTTTTAAAAAAGTAGCTTCAAGTGCTTTTAATTATTTCCAGTGGACTTGATTACATTTTACATTCATTATATATTTACATTTTACATGCTATTTTGGAACTATTATTTATAGACACTTG